AGACATATTTGTCTTCTTGATGAAATTTAGATCAGTGAAAATTATAAATAATAAAATAAAAAATAATAAATACAGGGAGATATCCTAAACACCCACCTGTTGCCACACTCAATCATCAACAACATCCTCTTTTTCTCCTCTATTTTTGTAAGCTGACACCATTTCCCTCAGTGGAAATGAAGCTTTTATTTACTTTCATTTCACAGATAAGAAACAATAAATTGTCAAGACAATAAACCCCCAAGAAACTGGCATTATTTATCCTTCAGGAGGGATTTATCCAGGTTTCATATGAGCAGAAGAAATCTCTGCCTGTCGCTAGGCTAATTTACGCAATGTAAAATGCCATAGGCTTGTGCTAATAATGTTAGTATGTTGTGTTTGTTTGGAAAACGTGTGAAGTATGACAGTTGTTCTGTCTGTGAACCTTGTGAGTAATAATGAACCCAAATTATGTGCCGTTACCTTTGTTAAATGTTGCTGTTGTCCCTGGAAGAGGAAAAGTTTGCTAACTGCTAGGCTAATGTGTTACCTTCTTCAGCTTTGTGGTTCCTAACGGTAGTATGGAACCGCTGGTTTCTAATTCTAAGTCACATTTTGCGTTAGCTTGGCTCATTGGGTGCTGGTAACTAGCAGTCCAGGCTAATCCCACACACAGAGGAGGAGTAAAGACGGAGTATTTTAACACAAGAGCCGGTGTTCTGACACTGACACTTTTCCGTGCCATCACAGGACAACTACAAGGCTACGTCACACACACTACCGATAAGGCCACCTTCTTAAAGGGGATGCTCCGGCAGGTAACAAATGTAAAATGCCAAAGGCTTGTGCTAATAACGTTAGCATGTTATATTTGTTTGGAAAATGTGTTTTGTACAAGACAGTTGTTTTGTTTGTGAACCTTGTGAGTTGTAATGGAGCCAAATTATACCCTTCCCTTTGTTAAATGTTGCTGTTGTCCCTGGATTTATATGAGAAAAAGAAAAAAATCGCTAGCTGCTAGGCTAATTTATACAATGTAAAATGCCATAGGCTTGTGCTAATAACGTTAGCGTGTTGTATTGGTGGGGAAAATGTATCCAGATAAAAGCAAGTGCTTTGTCTGTGAATACTGCGAGTTATAGTGAAGCTGTTTTGTGTATCTGTGTTTGAAATTCTCTCGATTAAGCCATGTTTAATGTGTGTTTTGGGTGTGTTTGAATCAATTAAACTTTACAGCACTTCACAGAAACCTGCAGAGTGACACAGACACACCACCACTCAAGTATAAACGCTCACAACAGCATAGGTGACGTGCGTAGGCTATGGCATGGGGTCTGCAGCACAAGAATTTAAATAGCAGTACATCCTCGTATCCAGACTAATTAAACTGAAACTGAAAGCCAATATACCTGTTTAACTGATGAATCATTTAAGCAACTGTATTCATTGAAACAACATAATGTGACTGACATATTGACTTATTGAAAATTAATGAAAAATATTGGAGTTATAGTTTGTTTACTGCAGTCTTACATTTTGTTTTTGAATGTTTCTTCACAACGAAGGTCTCATTTTCTTCTTCTGCTTCTTTATTCCCAGCAGACTTAACACTGCAACAGTGTATACTGTCATCCACACATAGTTAAACAGAGAACGTCCATTAACTTTGTGTTGAACACCTAACTGTTGCCTCAGTACATCCAGACACCTCTCTTTTAATGTTATCTTTTATGGCCATCCCTCATATATGTGTACAAACCCACATACACATGAGTGAGTAGAGTTTAAGTGTCTGTCATCACCCTGTGTAACCTGATTAATCTCTGTGTGTATTTCAAGTCATGAAAATAACACAGAACATACACAGACACTGTAAGATATCCATCATGAGAACACTTGCTGTCCTGTTTGAAGCTTTTAATATCAACATGAAAATTAAATTAAAGCGTTATTAATAATATAACATTTTATTATTATGATAACATTTCACAGTTACCAGGTCAGTCTCTGCAACAGGTGATCATGCTGCTGAATTTATCAATGTTCAAATGATTAATTATCATCATCAGCAGAGATATGTATCAATGAAGACTTTTGGACAAAAGTAGGACTGTGAGATCTTGGTTTTACTAAAATTATTATTTCTGTACTCGTGCTTTCATAATGATAATAATGTAAGCCTAAACACAACACTTTTTTTCTTGCTATTTCCTATCATGCTAAAGTACAGATTTTTGGTTTGTTTCACCAATGTTGTCTGAATGTGTTGTGTGTCTAATGAAAAAAGTCAGGTAATCCCTGTAATCCATATCAAATTCTTTTCTTAACAAAAGCACAACTTAAATAAGTTGAATTTATTTGTTTAAACAGTGATGCTCTTAAATTTGAAAGAAAAAGATGAAGATTCTGCAACAAAAGTTTCAGTTTCTTAATTTTAAGTTAGTTTTTTTTTTTTTTAAGATCACAGTGAAAATGTGAGCCATTGTCACTTGTGTGTGTGTGTCTATGCTCCTCACTTCACCGTGCTTACTGATTAATCTGTCCATCAATATCAGCTCATCTCCGCCCTGCAAACAGAGATATCAGTGATGGATCACCCTGATTTGTATCAATAGACAAGACCTAATCAATAAGGTTAAACACACTAATGTGGTCCTAGAGTGTGGGCAAACAAGTGTGTGTGTGTGTGTGTGTGTGTGTGTGTGGATGGGTGGAGGAAAAAGGCAAGCTGGGGGGTTTGACTCTGATGTAACAGAGTCAGTTTCATCACCTGAGGCATTGGGGATGAGGAGGAGAAGACGAGAAGAGACAGAAGGGAAGCGACATGAAGAGTCTAAAATGACTCTCTCTCTCTCTCTCACACACACACACACACACACACACACACACACACACACAGATAGAGACATTAGGTGTCACCTTCCACCAGTAGCCTGTATGACTGTGAGTTATGACCACAGCTATGCGATCATTTACACTCACTGCTGCAGATAGCCAGGGGCTACCGTTCTCTGTGTTCATGTGTGTGTCTGTGTGCAGAGATTTTGTTTGTCAATACACAACACTTGCTCGAGTATGGTCTGTCTGAAGGACACAGCTGAAGATAAACCCAAACTGGAATTTTTATTTAATTTATTCACATCTCAGAAGACACATGTAATAACTCCAACAAGACTTTAACTGCAGGCATTAAACCTTAATTACATTTTACATAAACAGGTTACATAAAATGACAAGGTGCTTTAGTTTTACTGTCCAGCGCATTAGTAGATACACATTCAGCTTCAAATGTAGACAGAAAGAAACATGTCACAGCTTTTCAGAAAGACTCATGGGAAACTTTGTGTAAGAAAAAGGCTAATGTGCTAATGTTTTTTGTTTGTTTGTTTGCTTGCTTGTTTGTGCCACTTGGGGGCAGTCTAAAAAGACTTTAACAGAAAATCAACGTATCACATATTAAGCTGAGATAGAGAATGTGTTAGCAAACGGTTGCTGATGTGCACATCCAACAGTTACAGAGCAACATGATCACTCATATGGAGCCGTGTTTGTGTCCACCTGATGAATCCAAGTCCACTAGTGAGTCTCTTTTATCTCTGCTTTTGGTCTCTACCAACTCTTGATGGAAATACAGTATGTGTCTCTTTAGCTGCTAAATGCCCCACTATGTTCACCAGATACAGTCATTAACCATACGGTCCATAAAGCTGAGGGGAGCTGCAGATTCAGGTTATAAATCTCTGTAGGATCATATCAATAAGCAAATCTTTTAAAATTGTCATCTAATACATTGTTATGGGAAAAAAAAATTGATTATAACTGCTCTGATGTTCGAATGTGCACATTTGATATAAATACTCGGAACATAAATATCACAATAAACTAATAGTTTTGGAAAAGTTTGGTCTAAAATAAAAAAGTTTTGCTTCTGTTCCTTCACCTTAATTGAACTTGTAGATTGCCGTTTTTGTTTTGTTTTTTGACAGAAATGCCATGCTAGCCATGTAAAACTGACTGTCATAACACACAAAAGATACATTTAGAAGATAATGTGTGACTTCTCGAAACTTCTTTTAAAAGCAGAGCAAACCTTAGTGTTCTCCTGACCATGAGTGTGAGGAACTCAGGTTCTTAGTCAAGAAGTTCTCAGGTTAGGGCTCCAATAGCATCAGGCTACATCCACACAAATATGATTTCATTTCAAAATAGCGTTTTAAAATGAAAATGATCTCTGTACCCATGAGCATTTTAGCACCATTTTAGAAATAATTTCTGTCCATACTCACACGCCTGAAAACAAGTATCACATGACCATTCACGTACACTGGGCATGTGCATTCCAGAGGAAACAGGAAGCAAGTTGTTGGTTGATTGATTAGTTACAGAAAATACTATAGAGTAAAAGTTCTTTGCGTCATCCAACCAAGAGGTGGAACTGTTGCTGAAAGTAACACATTGGTATAAGGCAGAAAACAGATTTGTTGCAAAGCAATTACGGCGTCATTTTTGAGCAGTACCAGGAGCATTTTTGATCACCGGAGGAAGCCATTGCAATGGGAAAGAAGAACCCACACAAAAAGAATGAAATCACAAAAGGTATGTAGGCCTTGCTATAATGTTTTAGTCTGACAAATTGTGACCGATAAGACACAATCAGGAAGTGAATATGGGTGTCTGCATCAGTGTTTTTAAAAGTCTCTGTTTCTGCCTGTCCACACTAAAATTTTCAAACTAAAATAGGGTCAGAAGCATTTTCAAGTCTCAGTTTTTGGGGTTTGGAAACACCATAACAGTGTGGATGGATGCTAGGTGAAACTGTAGCAAAAGTTTTAAAACAAAACTATATTAGTGTGGATGTAGTTTCAGACTTTTACTTTAGGATGATTCCTTCAGGTGTTAAAGGGACATACCCGTTGTTATTACCAATCCTTCGCCAAAAATGTACAGTGACACTGCAGGTTTCTAATGTAAATTTTTCATTGTGTTTATGATAAAATGAAGACAAAACACACGAAAGCTGACATTGCACAGTGTCAAAATCCATACAAGTTTAATCCATGTCATACAACATAATGTAAAAGTGAAAACACAGGAAATATAGCACGGAAAATCCCCCAAAACAACAGGCAAAGAAGGTTTTCATGTGTAGTCTTTCAAGTTTTTTCTCTGCCTGAACATTTTTTTTCCCAAATCCTCAGAGAGCCGTGTGTCCTGTCCGGCTGAAGAATTCGTTTCAGTTCAGGTCAGGTCATTCCGGTTCAGATCAGTTCAGCTTGATTCAATTTAATTCAGTTTGCTTCACCTGGAAACTGCTCACACCACTGACAGCAAGCTCTCATTTACTCTCCATCTCTTGTACTCCTACTGGCTTGATGTTCCACCTACAGGGAGACAGAGACGCAGCCTTAGTGTGTGTGCTGTTGAGAAAAAGACACACGACTCAGGTGTGTGTGGATTTAATACCTCTAGTGCAATCACACTGTTGTAATATGAAAACCTCCAGGATGTCTACTTTGAGGAATAACAGGGTGGTGTTTCTTTAAAAAAGCAAACTGTGAAAAAAACATACATTTGTGGAAAATATCAAATGTGTTTTGTTTACGTCATGAGAACATAGTGAATTCTTCATTTAACCAGTGACTAAAAACATTATAAAATGATGTACATACAGCAAAAGGATGAGGTGTGTGTCAACTCAACTCAACTCAACTCTCTCTCTCTCCCTCTCCCTCTCTCTCTCTCTCTCTCTCACACACACACACACACACACACACATACAAAATTCAATCATGTCTCTGCTGCTGCCTGGGGGAAACACAGTGTGGAAGCCTCACTATAGTGGAAAATCACCTTTTCCATGTTATTTTACACAGCAGCACCTTCACTACACACGCACACACACAGAGGGTCAGCCTGCATTTACACCAGGAACCAAGAGATCTGATTTTTTTTTTTTTTTTAACTCTTTGTGGTGCAGATCTCACACCGTCATGGCTGTCTCAGCCAGAAGAGTCAGTGAGGAATGTGATTTTTATACAACCGTGAAGAAACATCTGTGCCTCAAAGAGCTAATGTGATCTTGTGACAATAGCAGGTTTGGTGCTGCGAGCTTTCTAAGTAAGGTTTGTATCACATGATGCTGGACTTGACTGCCAACAGGCTATATAGCAAAAAAAATATATAGTATTATATATAGTATTGATAACTGCTAAAAAAAAAATCTCTATAGTCATTAACTTTATTTTAAAGGGTGTGACATCAGCCTTATTAATATACAAGTACCCTAAGTGTAACTCATAATTTTTTGTTATTTATATATTATATAGTAATGAATGTATTATTGATCTTCCCAAAACCAATTTCTGTTCTTTTGAGTGGAGATAAACTTTATAAGCACACTAGGGACCATATGAGCCAAATCAAATTACAAGTAGATGAGGGTAATTTTACAGGAGGCAGTCAAAATAATATAAATGCCCCACTTGCAAATGAGGCTGTGAGCTGCACTTTATTGGAGGTGCACAGCAGACTACAGGGCAGGTTGATTTTTTTTTTTTGAAATATTATGACTTTATTCTCATTAAACTACGATTCTAAGAGAGAACACAAAATTCTAAGAGAACACAGATATGTGGGAAATATTTTGAATGCACAAAAAGTTTTCAACATAAGCATCAAAATCATGTGAGCAAATCAAGTTCAGGGGTTTACAGATTAATTTAATTAATTAATGTGTCATGGATGTGAATGGGTGCCACATGCACATTTAAAAGGGTTACTTTCAGAAACAAACAAAAGAAAAATCTAAATCAGTTCTATAGGTGTGCTGACTCGGGGATAGCGTTAAATTAAAAAAAGTTGATCTACACTAGTATAAATATTTTAAAGCAATTCAGAATGCTTTACTGAGAGCTTTACTGTATTGTATTACATTATGTTTATATATTTTGAATTGTCACCTGTTACCTGAAATTTGTGTTTTCCTTTACATAAATGAAGACCTTCCCATCATAAATTGGTGCATAAAAAAATCACCAGAATGCAGGAAATTAAATGTACAATGCTTAAAATTTCTGAAAATTTCTCCTAAAACTGTGTCTCCCATGATGTTAAAATGAAGCCTATGCCCTTGGTGCAATCAAACAAGATATATGTTGTAGGCAGCTTTTGTAACCTTTGGATAAAGCCAGACAAACTGTTTCCCCATATTCCCAGTCTTTATGCTAAGCTAACCTAAGCTAACCAGCTGCTATCTACATATCTGCCATACAGACAAGAAAGTGGAGTATCAATCTTATCTAACTTTTAGCAAGAAAGAACATAGTTTGACACAAGTATCACAAAGGCAGGTCATATGAGCATAATCCCACTTTAGGTTTCAAAGCAACTTGACTCAAAGAGATCCAAAGAGGCCAAATTATTTGCATCCAAAGTTGCAGAGCATTGGTCAAAATCATTGAATATGTCCGTGGGAACAGCCTGCTGGTGCAAAGAAACCAAAGTCATTAGTTAAACAGTAATCAACATGGACCCAAAGCACATACAGCTCATGTTGCAGCAGAGTGTTTTTTCCATTAAATGTTTTAATTAATTTGTCTACCCTTCATTCTGTCTACCAGAAACACAGTGTGTTATTGCTCCAAAGGAAGAGTTCACTGCTGGACAAAAATCACATAACTAAATGAGGAGATAAGCAGCACTGAGTGGGGATCTGTGGTGTTCGGCTAATGCTACAACCATTTGCGAGGCCTGTGGTGTGATTCAGAGTGTCAAAGAGGAGGGAAATAACATGTTGAGCATCTCGTCAAATCGCTCCGGCTTTAAACGGCCTCTCTCCAGAGTGTGTTTAGGAAATTAAAGGCCAGGGATTTTTTTTTTCATAATTGTCTGTTTTATCATTTTATTACAGCTAGCTTTCCTCTGATGGGCTCCCTTTATGATTTATCAAATACAATTATTGCGTGACTTATTTCAGGAGCCTCTCCATTGCTGAGGACCGTTAATGTGTGTGTGTGAGAAAGACAGTGTGTGTGTGTGTGTGTGTGTGTGTGTGTGTGTGTGTGTGTCAGCTCTGGTGTATTTAAATAGCATTAAGTAATTGGAAAAACAGGAAAAGAGGCTGGAAAAGCTAAATTGTCTTTGTGGATTTATACCCCCCATCCCTCCTCTTTGGCTTTCCCTCTGTTGCTCTTTCTAAATATTCCACAAGCTTCTATTTCAAATGTAAAATAGGATAAATAATAAAAACCTACTGTTTTAACTGAAACAGAGAAACTAATATAAAATAGTTTCATGTTTTTTTGCTGCTAAGATATTTGTTCTGTCAGATAGGGAGAGACAGAGAGAAGGAAAGAAGCAGAGAAAGAGAGAGAGGTTAATTCCATACCTTCCACTCGCTGTTAATGAAGTGTAGGTTGCGTCCCGGTCAGTGTAGCTAATTGAACACTGAAGATTACAGCAGCCGCTGCTCCTCTGTGAAAGGAAGGCCGTGTTCATTAGTTGCAGCCATATAATATTCGTTCTCTGTCGAAATATGTAGATAGTAATCTATGCAAAGAGCCTCTAAAGCTCTGAACATGTACTGTGGTAGCAATAACTCATCGCTTGAAAAATGACCGGTGTTGGGCTGCAGTCCCTCCTGTGTTCATCGTATCTTTGCCTTCCTGCTTGGATATGCGTTTATCGAATAGTTTTACATATAGTGAGCTTAGTGTGTTGGCACAACTGTGACACTACCCCAGCAATGTTCGAGGACTGATCTGTATAAATACTCAGACTCTTGCATTCAAAATCTTATTGAAGTAAAAGTACATAAAGTATATACATTAAGTACCAAAAGTAATGGTACTGGTCATGCAGAAATGGCCCCTTTCAGAATAATATTATCATTAGATTGTGATGCATTAATGTGTACATTACTTTAATGTTGCAGCTGCTGATTGTGTAGTTTACTGTAAACACTTTATATACTGTTGAGTTACTTAATCCATAATAATAATAATACATCATAATTTACAAGTTGATTTGTATTTTTGTATTTATAATCAAAATCTGCAAAGTAGCTGATGTTGTCAAATAACTGTAGTGGAGTGTGTAGCTGAATAAAATGGAAATATTAGCATATTACAGGTCCCTGAAAACTGTACTTAAGTACAGTACTTGATTAAATGTACTTAATTACAGTCCACCAATGCCCCGGGTAGCTATCATGCTCCTTAAAAAAAAAAAAAAAAAAAATACAATAAAAAAGTTAAGAATACACCCCTTGTTTGTGTTCAGAAGTTGTTCTAATATTATATCAGTTTACTTATTTATGTGAAGATTATTGCTAAATGTCTGTTTAAATAATTTGATACACACTTAGTGGAAGAAATAACTGGTTTTAGAAAAGGTTAATGTCAATGTCTCGCAAAGCTTTCTACTTATTCTATGTACCATATATCATAGAAGAGTGACTGTGGAGAATGTACAGATGAAGGTGTCTACAAAGATAAGCAGTTATGTAAGCTTTCTGCATCTCTGTGAATGGGTATGAATATATATGTATGTGTACACATGTAAGTACTTGGGTATCTAAGCGCAAGGATTGGCGTCTTGTAATGTAGATTTACAAGTAAAACAACTTCCTCTAATGAATGCCATAAATAACAACGAATGACCCTGGACCCATGCTTGGGACTCTTGGTGGAAATGCTCATTGTATGGTCATAAGTGGATCCATATCTTGAAAAGGACACAAATTGATTCAATGGACAATCACATTGAAGGTGCAGAGATGGACTGGAGTGAAACAACTCCTGGACTCGGCCCCTTTCCCTTTACCAATGATACAAGAGTGACTCACTGACCTGACCTGCTGTTTTTGATTTCTTTTTTATGACTGTCTGTGCACTTTTCTGTTCTACTCTGTTCTTTGTCTTTTTTTCCTGTACTGTACATCATTTATAAATATATAAAAATAAAGTTTAAAAAAAAAAAAAAGAAGAAGAGTGACTGTGGAATAAAAATTATTCCTACTGTCGCAGTCTGCCCTACTCTATGACTCCAAGTACACCGGGTGAGTATTTTAATGAATACAGTGAGACATTATGAATCACAGGGTCTGTTTTCAGTGAAATGTTCTGCCAATTTTAAGGAAATAAGTGTGCAAGACAAGATTATGTAATTAAAAGAAGCACCAGTAACCCCAGTAAATTGTGGCGTTGTATTGCTACCTCTTGGCGTTTCCTGTTATTTTTATTCATTTAATTTCGTCTTCACACCATGTGACATTCATGTCTGCTGCTTCTGTAATTTTTTCTTTTAATGTGGTTTTGCGGTGAAGTAATGTAATAATGTCTGGGGGCAATATGCTGAAGTTTTTCACACAATAAGAGGTTGTTTCTCTGAATAAACTGCATCTATCTCCCTTAACTGCATCTTGCCTCTGTTTTTTTTTTTTTTTTACTCAGCTCTAACTTAGCTATGGATGCAAAGTTTTTAATAGGCCTATACACATTTTTTCATGTACTTCCGAACAGGTGGATGGGAGCCTGGATGGGACAGTGAACAAGCAGCCGTGACGCTGAGTTTCCTGATGCTGCAGTCGCTGCAAATAGAACTCAGTAGAAACCCAGCATGTCTTTATCAGGACAAAAACAAAACCCCTCTCTGCTTCTGTCACTTTTCTAACCCCACCGAACCCTCTCCTCTCCCCTCCTACCCTCCTTCCCTTTCGGGTTGCCCGTCCAGCTCAGTGGGACCCTCTCTCTCCCTCTCCCTGTTTCTCGCTGTCTCTCTACCTCTCTCGCCCCCTCCCTCAGGGCAGAAGTAAACCACGCCTTGAGGCCCTGCTCCCATTGTGTGTCCTCTGCTACTTCTGTTTGGGGCCTTTGTGTGCCGCTAATCAGCCGTGGGGCCATGCTCAGCCCCGAGTGTGTGTCTATGAGTGTGTGTGTGTGTGTGTGTGTGTGTGTCTGTGTCCCTTGCCCTCATTACGTAGCCACACTGGGAGGCCAGCATGGGAAGTTTCTGCTGCACTATACACCTCCCTCCATCCCTCCATTCCCCCTTCTCTCTTTCCCTCCCTCTAGCTGTCCATCACTCCCTTCCTCCCCCTGTATCATCTCGCCACCCCAAGACTTAAAGCTACACTGGCCATGGTTTTTTATAAAGCTACACCTGTGTAGCCTAAGTCAAGCATCTGTCTTCTGTTACAAACTTGTCCTAATCCGATATATTTATTATTAGTATTATTTAGTATCAGAATGGTCGCTGGCTTGACATACTAAAAGTTTCACACGTGAATTGATAGTCGAAAAGTATTCTAAATAACCTACGTCATCACACAGTGAGAAGATAATTGGCTCACAGGATTTCTGGTATTAACATTCTCAAAAGCAAAAGTTGCTTCTTGTTGACATTAACTGGTTAAATATGAGCAGTTAATTACGTCACTTGAAATATCACAACAGATGCAGAATAATTATAAACTGTCTGTACTTTATATACTGTACTATACTGTGTAGAATGTAAAAAAAAACCAAAGCAAAACATTTTAGCCTACACTTGTGACAAACCTTGAATACAAACCACATAGCCACTACATTTTCTGTATCTATTACAATCTATATTACAGTCTGTAAACACCATGACAACTAAGCAGACTATCTGCTGATGAAGGCCACTGAATGTTGCTGAAAGCTCAGGAACATTGCCAGTTTCTGAAATCAACTATTTTTTTCCATGGTCAAAAATGATGAACCTTCAAACTCAACTTTTTATGTTCAGTAATTAGTGTAGACTCTTTGATATGACATTTCATAAAAAATGTAAATTGACAGGTTATATCAATGACAGTATGAATAGTATTTGACATTTTAATTGCGGCACACAAATAAAATAATCTGTGAGTATAGAATAAATAAGTATAGAGCTAAATAAGTGATGATGGCAAAATGTGAGCTTCTCCCCTCAGGACAGAGATTACTAAAGACTGAGTCTAGCAGGTTGAGAAACTCTTGCTATCAAGTTTTTACATGCTTTGGATGAGTCAACTGATGATGAGTAGTTTTCCATGTAATTTGCGGATGATGATATTATGCTGGCAATGAAGTGAGTTATTTTAGGTGAGCTTGTGTGATGGGTTTTAATTCATATGCTTTTTCAAGTCTGTGTGTGTTCTGTGTTTCACCTGGCTGCAAGAAAAGTTTATGATTGGGGACAATAAAGTGGAGATAAAAATGTTTCCCTCCTCTTGATATACAGTATACCAGGCTCAGTATCAACACAAAGTCAAAGGGAACAAGATCGCGGTACATGACACACTGTTTGTTTGGCAGGTGATTGTACAGTAACTAGAGCTTATTGTACAATAATGGAAAGTGTGAGAAAAGTGAAGGATTATCTCAATGAAAGTGAATTTTGTCAGTTTCATTGTTACTTAAATATGTGAATAAGCTGGACTACATGAACTGGCCGTTGCTCTCTATTGCGCCCCTCTGTCACCAGCTGGGTGCCCCCTCACCCTCCTGTTCCCCTCCTCCTCCACTTCACCTCCTTCTCATCTGTCCATCCCTTCTTTTCACTCTCTCTCTCCCCAGTTTCCCTCCTCCTTCTCACATCCATGATGTATCACCTGTCCGTGTGTGTGTGTGTGAATGTGTGTGTGTGTGTGTGTGTGTCTTAGTGCCCGATGGGGTTTTAGCCACTGGAGCTCTTTGACTTGAGGACAAGCGTTGTCTGTTCATCGCTCATCTAAACACACACACATACACACACAACCCCTCTCTCTCTTCAGTCAACAGCTACACTCCTATCTCAAATTTCAGTGTGGGACCGAGAACTTCTCTCTCCCTGTCAGTCTCGCCTCCCTCATTACTTCCTTCAAATGAGTTATCACACAGGTTGGTCATGACCCATATTTGTCATACAGCACATAATGAGGTTGTTGCTATAGCCTATTTTACACTGCCTGTTCAAGGTCGAAATTTTGCTCTGTTATTCCACCTCACCGTTCTTTATATAAGGTAGAATCGCAGAATGGGGTGACAGAGTTCTCTCGCCTTTAAGTCAGCAGTGGAGGTGGTACTATGAGCAGCACAGGTGTGATGTTTTGACAACATGTTACTTGTGTGACCCACCGTCAGGAGATTTAAAAAGCAGCTGATAGCAGTTAGCAGCTAACGCATGAAGATCAGTGGCCAAAAATGTCCAGAAATTTGGAAAACAATGAGGGCCGGGAGCTCGTTACCCTCCAAGCAGAGGACAAGATCAGCCGCCATATAATGGAGATGGTAAATGATAATTATTGCCTCATTATTTTTTAGAATGTGCTGCTCGACGCATATGTTACATGTCACACTTGAGGCTGATGCTGTTGTGTTGAACATCATGCCCATCATGCCTCTTTGGCTTCTGGGGTGCCGGCAAGCTGTCTAAAATCACACACTGGGGCGGCATGATGACACTGTTGTCTGGTTCAGTGTAAAAAT